ATAGTTTATACATTTTGAACATGCAGTTTTGGTTTCGAACTGGAACCGGAACCCGAAGTTCATTTTTTTTAAATATTATTCTAATTATTTTGTATTTTTAATTAATCGGACGACCAGTAATCGACAATTCAATGAACCGACCCGTACATATGTTCGCGTTGGTTCATGCTCCTCCAACCCTCAGCCCGATATCGACGGTTTCGGCTTGTACCTGGTTTTAGTTATGATTATAAACAAATTATCTGCTAACATATGTCGGTTTGAATTGAAAAAACTCAATCTCGAATCGCTTATATATTTAAACAAGTCAAACTCAAATAGCTAATCGAACTTGTTGATCAAACAAATAAAGTCGAATATGTTTGCAATCAACTCTGTACGAGTTTTCTCTTTGTCTAGGAAATGATGTCGAATTAATTATTGGAGGCGAAAGAAAAAAAATAAATAAAAATGGATAACGGACTGTGGAATGAGACGAATCGAATTAAATAGCCCGCTGGAAAAGTCTATGTCAAACTTAATTATCTAGCTCATTTGATATTTGTCAAGTCAACCCATTAAAAATTTAAAGACAAGAGTGTGTTGGGCCACATTATAAACCCAATTGATAAAAATCTAATAAGGTCACAATTGTCATTTGACAATAAAGGATTATCTTTTTTTCCTCACTATAATCATCATTTTTCCACCATTGTTGTCAGATAACAAATTTTAACATGAAGATAATCTTGAGTCATTGAGCCCAAAAATTAAATGGGGCTATATAAAAAATTACATGGGGCTAATGGGTCTATGTATAATTTTTTTTTGGAAATTAGATTAGCAAAAATAAGGGTAACAAAATATTACATGGGGCTGGAGCCCACCCTAGCCATAGGGTGGCTCCGCCCCTGTATATATATATTTCGACCGGGAAGTTCAACGCGGAAGATGTGGGCCTTGTTGGTTTCGAGCCAGTCCACGTTAGCATGAGCCACGGCCGACACGTCTCCAGGGCCGCCGCTGCCAGCTTCGCAGTGGTCAATATCGGAAGAAAAGGGTGAGAAAAAGGGAGAGCTCCAGCCGCTGCCGCCGCTTCTTCCGCCGTGCCACAGCCCAAGAGAGGCCATGTGTTTTTTAATATTTGTGGCTGAGTTTAATAGGTGAGTAATATCAACAAAATCATACGATGCATATCGGAATCTAGCAGTTTATTTTTTTTTTTTTATTTTCTTTTCCTTTTATCTCGTCCAGGAATTAAACTGTAATCTAGCAGTTTATGAAGTTAAACGAATGCAAGTAGTATGAGGTGGGTACACGTGTTTGTTTGGGTGTATGCGTGGTTTCGTAGTTGGAGGCCATGTGTACGATGTGCTTTTGGTTTTGGCCACGTTGCACGCCGCATGGGTTTGGTGTTACTAGTTGTTACCCGTGCATTTGCACGGAAACTGTATGATAAAAAAATAAAATAATAAAAAATATAAACAATAGTAAAAATTATAACATACTCATTGAAAAAAAAGTTTTAAGAAAGAAAATTCAAATATAATTAAACACTTCTTTATATACAACGTCCATAATTTTTCGAAGCCCAATCTGATTTCTTGATGTATCCCAATAAAAAAATTTAGTAAGAGAATATTTTAAATACGCCACAACCCATTATTTTTCTTATAACTTAAGCTCAAACATTCACATCCCATTGTTTATTAACAAAGCCCAGACAAAATCAAACAATAAATTCTTTTTCGGGCCACAAATGGGTCAAATAAAGTTGATTTCGTTTGAATCCAAGTAGTATCAAGGCTGATGTTTTTTTTTATTGGGCCAAATTAAACATAATCTAAATGCATGGACCCATATAGCACTGTCAAAGCTTCATCCACCACACAAATGTAGAACATTCAACAAAGTGGTAGAGACAGGTATTTAATGCCTAAAACCCTACCACCTGCAATATTTTCATCGTTTTTTCTTCATTTTTAATCTTTTTTTTTTATTTATCGGAGACAAATACTTGGATCGATTCTGATTTTGTTTAGCCGTTGTAGACATGCTTTTAATTTATACATGCCTTACATCATGAAAAACAAATTCAGCCCAGTAGTTACTTCTTTGTTTGTCGAAAATTTCTTTGACTAAAATCGAATCAATCGCAATATTGTAGTTTTTTTCTTGTTCTTAGCCAAGAAAATCATATTATCAAATTGCACTGCCATTTGGAACTCAAAAGAAATATGTTGTGTCGAAATAGTTTTTTCGGTGACTGTGATTATGAGTGTGGAATGCAAAGTGAAAATGTGTCTGATTTTTATTTTATTTACAAGCACCTACATAAGTCTATTAACTAATTAGTGTAAATACCAACAAATCAAGAGCATGATTAGTTTAAAATATTTTGATAACTGGAAAAAATATGAACTATATAATAGTGGCACATTTGATATGATTTTTGAAACTGGAATTTATGTTCCGCCAACTAAAGATTTTATTTTTAGAGTCAAAATTTATGTTTTTGTTTGTATTTATTAATTAGACATGTGCTTCTATCATATAAAAATTATTATGTTTTCTTAAGTTATTTTTATCATTCAAAATCAATTGAGATTTAAATTGTATTTTAACCATGCAACCTTTATATTAGTAACATGAATAAAATAATTTATATATTTGTAGCATATATTAAGAAAATTAACATAAATAAAAAAAAATTTGGTGTTTCTGATTTTTAGAAAAAAAAATATATATGTGCCAATCATGCCCAGATGTACATATAATATTATAAGTAATATTTGAGAATTTAATATTAAAATTTTAGATAATGAACATATTGCATTTTCAAAAATTTGATCATTAGAAAAAAAAATAACGATTTTATTATTATGAAAAATTGTATATTACCATTAGATACTAACTGTTTAATTATTATTATTATTATTATTATTATTATTATTATTATTATTATTATTATTATTATTATTATTATTATTATTATTATTATAACTATTATTAAAACAATTGTTTATAAGATTCTAAAGTTGTCTGACTATGCTATTAAAA